GGGGGGGGGGGGTCAGGTGGTCTAGGGAGGTCATGACTGATGACTAGGGAGGTCAGCTCCGCACTCTAGAGCTGTTTCTTAAACTTACCAAACTTGTGCGTGCATTATGACTAAGTGTGTCAGGTTCGTTGCCATTACCCTCTTTATCCTCCTTACTGTTACTTTTTCTACCTGGTACACAAATACAACAAATTAAGTTGCAATTCGCGATTTTTTTACACAACGCGAACCATCCGCGATTTTACCTTATGCCGATGGCGTGTTAAGTGTTGGTAGGTGCGCTGCTCTACACAAGCACATGCGTCCATGGATCGGTGAACACCCCGACTCGCTCAAAGGCAAGGGGAAAAGTCAGCAGCGGCCGAGTGACTACATCACAGAGGAAGCCATCTGACCACATGACAGAGGCAACCATCTGACTACATCACAGAGGCGGCCATCTGACTACATCACAGAGGCGGCCATCTGACTGCATCACACGGGCGGCCATCTGACTACATCACAGAGGCGGCCACCTGACTACATCACAGAGGCGGCCATCTGACTGCATCACACGGGCGGCCATCTGACTACATCACAGAGGCGGCCACCTGACTACATCACAGAGGCGGCCATCTGACTACATCACAGAGGCGGCCATCTGACTACATCACAGAGGCGGCCATCTGACTACATCACACGGGCGGCCATCTGACTACATCACAGAGGCGGCCACCTGACTACATCACAGAGGCGGCCATCTGACTGCATCACACGGGCGGCCATCTGACTACATCACAGAGGCGGCCACCTGACTACATCACAGAGGCGGCCATCTGACTACATCACAGAGGCGGCCATCTGACTACATCACAGAGGCGGCCATCTGGCTACATCACAGAGGCGGCCATCTGACTACATCACAGTGGCAGCCACCTGACCACATCACAGCAGTAACCATCTGGCTACATCACAGAGGCAGCCATCCGAACAAATGACAGAGGCAACCATCTGACTACATCACAGAGGCAGCCATCTGACCATAGTTAGAGACAGCTGTCTGATCACGTGCCACAAACAACCATCTGAACACATGACAGGAACAATCATCTGACTGCACGACAGAGGCAGCCGTACATGACCGTGGCAGCCGTCTGACCACAGTTGGAGGCAGCTGCCTGATGACACGTCAGAGACAGTCATCTGAGCCCGAGGGCAGCCGTCTGACCACAGTTGGAGGCAGCTGTCTGATGACATGTCAGAGACAGTCATCTGAGCCCGAGGGCGGCCGTCTGACCACAGTTGGAGGCAGCTGCCTGATGACATGTCAGAGACAGTCATCTGAGCCCGAGGGCAGCCGTCTGACCACAGTTGGAGGCAGCTGTCTGATGACACGTCAGAGACAGTCATCTGAGCCCGAGGGCAGCCGTCTGACCACAGTTGGAGGCAGCTGCCTGATGACATGTCAGAGACAGTCATCTGAGCCCGAGGGCAGCCGTCTGACCACAGTTGGAGGCAGCTGCCTGATGACACGTCAGAGACAGTCATCTGAGCCCGAGGGCAGCCGTCTGACCCGCGCGGCAGAGCCGCCGGGCGGCCACGCCCGGCGCCGGCTGACCTGAGGCCGGCCGGCCCCGCCGAGTAGTGCAGCGCCGAGGCGTTCAGCCGGCTGCTGTTGCGGCTGCGCGGCAGCGGCGTGTTGGACTCGGAGCGGAGCGGGCCGCCGGGCGACGGGCCCACCGAGGCCGGCTGCGAGCAGCGCGACGAGTGGGGCGTCGCCGCCATGGTCAGCTCGCCGCCGTCCGCCGTCCACCACTCCTGCCGGCCCCAGGCGCGCTCGGCGTCAGATCGGCTCCCTGCTGTCGGACGTCTCCTCGGCCGGCCGGTCAGGCTCAGGCTCGCGGTCCGATCACGGACGCCCGGCCGTCAGGTCCGCCGGTCACGTGCGCATGAGAGGCCCTCGCCTGGAGGGCGGTCCAGCGTCCGACGCTCGCCGCCTGTCAGGTATGTGTCGGCGACGTGTGTCATGCACCGGGCCGCAGTAGCCGGCCCTTGTGTCAAAATCGCTTCAGCAAAATGTGAACAAGGTTGGTTTTCGGCTATTCGGGTAGCTTCAGGTCGATTAGTTAGCGCTAGCCGTATGGAACCGCTACCCTGTCATGGTGACGTTGCGAGCCGGTTCAGCCATCAATGGACATTTTTTTACGAATACATACATGCACTGATTAGAACAGTAAATTCTAGATGTACAAATACATCCCATTCACAACTCAGTCATGATACAGATTCCTACATGCTCTGAATGGATAACGTAGGTTTTAATTTGAAGTCTTCATCACAGACACTGCTACGTGACTTAAACACGTACGCGTACACCTCACTGTTCTGCTACCAGAAAATCTCAAAATGTAGCATTTTAAGTCTCCAGATAGGTACAAGAACAGTAAAAACAAAACGGAGAATAAAGCGTTTAATATAGCAGAAGATAGCCCACACTTCAACTCTAATTCACCCCATACGATTAAAAATACACCTATGGGGAGGACCGTACGATTGTACTGAAAATTCCCCCGTCGAACCATCAACCAACTCTGATAAATCTAGCAGAAAATCCAAAGCCCATTTATATTTTGGGGGTCAAACCCCTATCATAAACCTACATAATGGGGTTTTCTACTTAATAGGAGACCCAACTTTTGCTTTGATTCCATAACTATACCCATGTACCACACCATTCCTCCATCAGCGCTCCAACATCTCGGATAACCAACATCGGGAGGCTGCAATAAAGAAAAGAGTAAAAACCAACAGCCCGAAATCGTCCATAAAAAGAGAGCAATTTGCCACCGAAAATGCTGATTTTTCGAAAACTGCGTCGGGGCCGGTGGCTACGGACGGCGGCCGATAACTGACCTCCGGCTCGGTGCGGCGCACTCTCCAGACGGTGTGGGTGCCCGTCTGCTGGTCATAGGTGACACACAGCGACGGCTGCCGGCAGACCAGCACCACCGACACCTGGCCGCCCGTGGCCAGCGACGGCTCACAGGCACCTGATGGCCAGATGGCGTCAATCAGCTCCGTACTCATCATTGGCACTTTACGATGCGCTCAGCTGCAGCACCTGACGGCTATATGGCGTCGCCTGCCTCTCACCCTGGCAGGAAGGGCGGGCATCGCGGGGTATTGAACCTAGTATCTCTGGTCCCCCCAGACGAGCAGCTTAACCATTACACCACTAACACCGCGGCCAGTCAGCTGAGCGGCGCATCCAGCTGCCTGCGTTGAGCAGCCAGCGCCATGGCCACGGCCACGTTCAAATCGTTGTGAGTGTTACATGGCTGTTGCACAATGATCGCTGCAGTGAGACCACATCGCTGAACGTAAGGAGAGCTGCCGTCTGGGACGGAGCGGGGCGGGGCGGGGCGGGAGGGAGGGGGCCCGACTCGCCTACACGGGTGATGAGTGGTGCGATGTCGTCCAGCGGGTGCAGCAGCGAGAACAGGGTGGGCAGCTTGTCCCCCTCGGTGACCTGGCGCTCGATCAACACACCCTCGTGCATGCTCCAGAGCCGCCGCACCTGTCGCACCAGCCACCACCGTCACGCCGGCAAACAGCACTCACACTCATACACTGTCCGACCAAAGAGGCTGGGACCTGCGAAGAAATAGAAAAAATCGAAACTTGCTGGAACTCACAAGCGGGCTGTCCCTTTACATCCTTGGGCAGGGAAATACTTAGGACGTTTAAATCGGCATAAGCAAATGTTCGAGTTCCACTGATTTACATCCTTTCACATTGGGTCCTAACTGGTGCCAGGAGGCAGAACTGATCGTGCGAATGTAACGGCTCTGTTAATTCTATTACAGTACTTGGAATCTCCGTCGCATGGAGTCAGTAACATTTCACAACTATAAAAACAGTGCACATGTAAGTCAAGCATACTGTTTGTTACGCCTAATTCCTCAGCTGCAATGGCCACTGAAGGAAAGGCCAAATATCTTCGCACTCTGCGAGCATCCCCAATAACAAAACCAAAATAGCCAATTAAGTGGCGTTCTCCCTGTCAGGGTATGACAGGGTACCGACACGCGCTACCATTCAGGGTGGAGGCGCCAGCCGTCACCTGGAATGGCAGCGGAGTGATGAAGTGCTCGCCGTCGTCCGTCCAGCTGTGCACGGCCGCCGCCGACACGCAGCTGAGAGCGGCGATCCGCTCGCTGGCGTCGCTCGGCTGCGGTGGCCTCTCGCTCAGCACGTGGGCGGCTGCTGTGGACGTGTACTCGCACCTGGCGGCGGCGCAGGCGGGCGTGGTCACTCGGCGCGGCTCGCCGGGTCACGCCCGCCGACCGGCAGTCGGCCACCGGGGGTCCGGCAGCCGGCCACTGAGCGGCAGATCACTGCTGTCACTGCTGGGCCGCAGATCACGCAGATCACGGCAGATCACGCAGATCACGGCAGGTCACTGCTGGGCCGCCAGCTTCAGCATCAGATGCAAAGGCAAGGTCGAATGTACTCAAACAGAGCACATCCACTGGGATAGCAGGACGACACGACTTCTATAGCCAGATTAGTTTACATCTTCTGCGGTCTGTGCCAGTCGACAGACAGCCGCCTGGGTTTACAGGACCAACTCTAATGGATCAAGTTCAGCCAAGGCAAAACTGCAAACCGCCAACCAGGCCACGACATACTCTGCCCCAGAATGTGGGCCTGGGGCTAGCCGACCATGCCATGACATACCCAGCCCCAGACTCAGAGCCGGGCCGGCCGACCATGCCATGACATACCCAGCCCCAAAATGTGGGACTGGGGCCAGCCGACCATGCCATGACATACCCAGTCCCAGACTCAGGGCCAGACCAGCCGACCATGCCATGACATACCCAGCCCCAGACTCAGGGCCAAGCCGGCCGGCCATGCCATGACATACCCAGCCCCAGACTCAGGGCCAGACCAGCCGACCATGCCATGCCATACCCCCACTTCAGACTGCAGAGCCAGGACCAACCTCAGCGCGTTGTTGATGGGCGCGTCCATGGTGAAGGCGCGATGCGGCCCGACTCCCCGACTGCACACCAGCATGTTGTGCTCGGTGTACAGCTCCTCCTCCACCTCGGTCCCGTGCTCCGTGTGCAGATACAGCCGCCATTGTCCCGGCTGTGGCAGTCAGCCGGCGGGTCGCCACACAAACACACACGCGCACAAAAGGATTGTGACATCCAGAGCACGAGAGAATACACCGTTACTATGACGGTGACCTGGCATGGTAACTTGTTTCAAATTGTTCCGGATGGTCACAGGCATATCCAACATTCTTTTAATATAACAATATCATCGACTTCTGCTACCTTGTCTGGGATAGAAATGCAACACATTGGTGGGTCAAATCTGCAGAATTTCAAGCTAAATCTGTAGTGATTTTAGAGAGTCATTGACACCTCTTATAAACGGTCTCCGCAGCCACGCTGATTCAATGTTACGCTGAACATTCTTTAAAACCAAATCCTTCTGATGGTAACAGTAGCTCCAGCTATCAGCTTTAAATCCACAATTACAGTATCCAATGGCAGGATTACATTACCTGTACACTGGTACCGCTGGGAGAGTCAACATCACTCGATGAGGGCAGCAAGCCCACTTCACGGGGGTGACGCATGCATTGACCCCTGCCATACGGAATAAACTCCTGGGGAACGAAATCACTCATGAAACGGCGAGCACAATGCTTGGAGGCATCATTTAAGCTGCGTAAGTGTGATGAACAATAATTCAAAACACAGAAAGGGCATCGGTTCACTGTTTAACTAAAAAGGTTATTACCTTGGGGTCTCGAACAGAGATCATCGGCCCGTTATTGTCCAGATTGTCTGTTGATAAACAACCTCATTTATGAAGAAACCTGAAAACAAAGTACCAGACCTCATAGCACAATACATAGATGAATCAAAATGTCACATGCTGTACCCTTAAATACACATATGCAGGCACTGGCACGGCGTTGTATTTCGTATCAATACTTCATTTTGCAAACATCGTCCTCTTCACGCCATTTAGCAAATTTATTATGCAGATATGCGCACGACGCATTATTGAATGTGATGTTTGCCAGTATTGTGCATTGCATATGTTTCATCCAACATTTAATGCGCTCGCCACGTTTCCTTTGTGTTTAGGCCGAGTCCTTTCACTAGATTGATTTTTGAGTCCAGACCCCACGCTAAGCAGCGCTTGTTGCGTACGGCCAGACCCACATCATCCGATCGTGAAATTTCAGGTTAACTGTAAAATCTTGCGGTGGAAGTCTAGAGGGATGGTTTTGCAACTTGTAGGACATTTTGGACCGAGATGGCTAGTATCACGATCATTCCCTGTTGTTCAAAGTTACACCCATTTTAAGACTTTAAATCCTTGCGTTTGAGGTCGGGGCACGACGACTTATGCCACCTATGTCACACCGTCTTATTTGAAATTACTCACAGGTACACAAGGTCATGGAGACACCAGCTAAATTTCGCTCGCTCAATTTCACATCAAGCCCATGCCGATTAGCGAAAGCTGGTTTTGTCGATCGACACCCATTGAAATACTGACGATGCCCAACGACATCTTTCGCTAGACACAGCGAGGAAGCCTAGTGGGGCAGGGCTGTAGTTTCCTATTCAGTTGGGGGGGGGGGGGGGGGGGAGGGGAGGCTCACAATTCCAAGACATTGGGGAAAGTGTGTCAACTTAGGGAAAACCCGGTTTTTAGTGTATTCAGGGATGTATTTCATCATTCAGTCCAGCTCCCCAATTCCCGTCTTGCGAAACTACATCCCTGCAGTGGAAAGGCTTAACGGTTATGGCACACGACAGATTCGCCACCAGATTACTCCAGCGTCAGGTCCGGGAGTGAGCGCCCATTCCCTAACCAGGCACAAGGCCAGGACCCGCAATTTATGCTGTTCGGGGCTCGAGAGTCGATCAGGGCCACGTTTGCCAGTCAGGAAACTTCGGTGCCTGACAACGGTCCTGTACCGGCAGGAGCCCAAAGTCGGCCTGGGGCAGTGTTTAAGTGGGCCAGCAAAGGGGCCGGAAGGGCCCCTCGGGACGACAATGAGTGGGCGATTGGAGGGCTGGCTAAAGGTAGCATTAAGAACCCCCTTCTGCAGGGACAGGCCCTCAAATGTCAGTCAGTGGGTCTCCTACACCGATTGGGCACACCCTGGAACAACGCGGGTCTCCATTTCTGCCAGGGACCATCAACACCGAACAATCGGCTTCGCGTCGCTCTGAGCCCTGGGGCCTATTTCCTGACCAGAGACAAGGCAGGGTCCCGGTCGAGAGTCGGGACTCCTGGAACAGTAGGGGCCCGTGCGCCGGTCAGGCGCCCACAGTGCGTAACAGTATCCTGTGTCAGCAAGGGACCTCGGGTCCGCTACGGAAACATTTGCTGAACGGACCCCACATTCCAGTAGCCTCCTGTGTTGGTGGGTCTCTCTTATAATGAAAGTGGGTACAATAGCTTATGATGGGAGTCTAGGATCAGACAACAGAAGCTTTTTCAGTTAAGGAGCCCAGTACCAAACAGATATCTCTCCATCACACTTCACCCATGACCCTTGTACTGGACTGGGGTGTATGCATCAGTTATTGGACACCTGCAGCAATCAGGGATCTGTTTGTACCAATGCATGGCTCCTGCATTCTCCCAGTACCAAATGACCAGTTAGGGGATGTCCAACATCAGGCAGGTGACCAATGCATGACTGATCCCTCTGAGGTCTCTCATATCGATCACGGAACCCGGCCGGTGTCGCCAGCATGGCAGTCGGCAGGCACCTCATGATGCAATGGAATGGTCCTTATGCCCCCCTCATGCCCTGATAAGTGGCACACTATATCAGGAAGTATAGTGTGCCCCCAGTGTCCTATGCACTAGGCCCCTTCCCTGACAGGGGCAAGGGGTTTCAAAAGGCCAACATGAACAGGCATCTAACCTTATTCTTAAAAATCACATGACACATGCCACACACAAAGTTTGGATTTTGAGTCTGCATGCTGGCAATCTTAGAAGTAAGAATAACAATGGGGGTTGCACTTTGTCATGGTCGTGCTTGCCACTACAGCCAACCCCTGGCAGTGGCACCTAGCTGCATGCATATAGCCCTGGGAAATAATGCCTCTGTAAATACAATTTTGCAGTCTTTATCTGCACAGAGCAGAAAAAATGGACTCTACCTTACCTTGTCTTGGAAGGGGTGTCAGAAATACTGGCCAGGTGAACTAAACACAACCTGACTTAGAAAAGCTAGTGGACTGTACTTCTCTATGGCAGATGTAACTAAATTATGGCCAGTGTAGGGTGATGCATTTGGGTAGTTTTGGTAGTGAGAACATTAGCTATAAAATAGGAGGCTGGGAATTAGACCAGATTGGCCCAGGAGTTAGGCCAGATTGACTTGGTTGTAATTCCAGGGACATAGAGCCTGAAAAGCAATGTGGGGCTTTATGCACAAGGCACTTCAGATGCCAGGAACTGCCAGCAGGGTTGTCCATTACAAGAGAAGGAATGGTATCAAAAAGTTGTACTTCTTATCTTATGTCAGACAACATTTAGAGTATTAAGTGCAGGCTTGGTCCCCATCCTCCCAAAGATGTAGGAGTACAGTGAAAAGTAGCCATGATGATGAATGAGATTGGCTCCTCAGAACATGAGGAAAGGCTCTGGGCCTTGGATTTGTACTTACTGAAAAACTGTAAACTTAAGGGGTTTGCCATCACGGCAATGAGCACATAATGTTGAAGCTTTAGCAGTTATCACAATACTGATGTCCAAACAAATACTTTGTCAATGAAAATGCAAATTATCCATACCATAAGGCAACAGCATAGAAATTCCCACCTCCCCGACTTTTGGACTTCTGGTGACTTAAAACAGCCTTTGTGTGACTTCCCCAAAACTGGATGGGTAAATCTTAAGGCTTGAACCTGGCTTCACACCAACATATTGTGCATGCATTGTCATGTTCAGAGCAGAAAATACGGTTAGTAGTAATACGCGGCGAAAATATATAATGTTGCCTCGCAAATGTAATAATTGTGATAGCGACAGTACTCATAGTAAAGCCTTTCCCTGCGAAGCTAATTTCCACTATTTTGGACTGATGATGTTCGTAAAGCGAGGGAATACTACTCACAATCTCTCCACAGTCATATAATATCGTTTTGTCCTCAAAATATTGAAAAATGATAGCAAAAAGACACGCGAACACTTCCGGCCGTCAAATATACGCGGTCAACACCGATCACCACCACGCAAAGCCGTCCGGTGATTCTCGCTTCATCTTCGCTCAACATTAGTGTGACATCACTGGTGTCGAGACTACAATGCGCGGCGGGCCGCTAGCCGCCGGACGCGATGCTGAAGAGCAGCCGGAACATCGGAATATTCGCACAGATGATGAAAAATCCGATCACTGAAGGTGAACATGACCAGCAAGCCCATCACTTAAAGTTGTATGGGGAACATAGTGGCATGCTTGCAGGCTTATGCGGCAAACCCTTAAAGTACAATGGCTTAAAAAGTGAAGACCTACACAAGAAATAAAGCCTCATTCTGGCGATGGCACATCCGTCTGCACCGTTCCAATAACGAACAAACTGTTTGTGGTAGATGCATACGACCAGCGAGCCGAATGCGTGAAATTTAGCGGCGAGTATGGTTATGCACGTAGTGACGTCAAAGTAACCCCATGGTCCGTTTTTTAGCTCAACAATTGATCTCATGATACCTGTTCAAAAAGGTCAAATTGTCCTACAAAATTGAGCTTTTCAGCTTCACATGCTCATATTTACTAGACCATATCCTGTGGTGACACAAAACCCAAAATGGCGCGCTTTTTGTTGAATTCTGTGCTCAAAAGTGTGTAGTTTTATATGTTTTAGCACGCATGGCCATGGCTGATGTAGCGGTGTCGGTCCGCCGCGCACGCTCCGAAGTACGCAAAACATAGAGCTCAGAAACTTCGTGATAATCTTTGTATGGCTTGAACAGAGCTGTTATGGACCTGGCGAACGGAGATTGTAGGCGAAAATGGGTTCGCAATTCGTATTAACTTTCCCGAGCCATCTTTGTCTGGAGATGCTCAACAGTCAGAATCGATTAGTGATACAACACGCACGTAGCACAGTAGCACAACACGCAACAAAACATGCACGTAGTTTTGCACCTGCGCGCCCGGAAACTTAGCTGCAAAAACCTCGACGTCATGCGTTACAGTCTCCATAGGCCGTGCAGCGTCGTTCTCGGGGCCAACCGGTGGACGCAATGATCACGAATCTAAAAGGAGTGCTTTTGGATGCCTTTGAACATTAAATCGCATAGTTAGAAGGTAGTCCCACCGTACATTTTCCCAGCGTGATTTTTATATTGATGTTAAGAATGAATTGGCATTTACAGCAAAAAGGGGTGGTGCTAGCTGGATTTGGTGGTGGAACTGAAAGGGTAAAGGTAGAATCCCTATTTTTCGTGTTGCTGTAACTGCTCATCTTTGCAGAGGACAACCACAAAGTTGTAAAAGAGATACGCCCAGTCGTATCTTTGAACGGTACGAATTGATTTTGAGACATTCGGAACCGTCATCTCGCGACGGTCGATCTCGCGCGGGGCGCGTGGTGTTATTTGCAGTAGCTAACGCTGTTTGGTTTTACGGGAACTGTAACCCAGGCCATCGCTGTCCTTACTCCCGCGATTTTGGACGCGCAGGCCCGAATTGTTGGTGTAATTTGTTTCACCAACCGATTCTGGAAAAGCATGGAGGTTTTCAGGCAACCATGGAATGACATTGTTCTTTTTTTAACCAATTTCGACCCATTCTATTCAACATTAATAAGGCATTTTACTTCTTCCCGGGCAAGGGGGCCTCTTGAGTAGAACACTAGGGGGCACATTATCGTTCCCCAGTCAGGAGCTGAAGGGTCATTCCGTTTCACCACGGGGTGTCTTCCGACTGCCATTCTGGCGACGCGGGGCGGGATCCCCTGGTCGATCCGGAAGCCGTTGGAGGGATACACCATATCACATCGCTTATCATATCACACCATACCATATCACATATCATATCACATGTCACATATCATACCATACCATATACACCATATCACACGCAGGAGACCTTCTGATCCGCGCAATTGGCCCCGATTCGATATGGGAATCCTCATTGACGCAACACATCCCTGATCGCCGCAGATGGTTCAATAGTTGGCGCATAGACTAATGGAGCTCCCACCGTTCGGTACCCCGGGGGTACCAAACGATGCCCCCCCCCCGTGCCCTTGGATTTGGCCCCCTGGGACCCTGACTGGCAATGGACCCTTCCATAGTCTCAATGTCTCAATGTGAACACTCATCATAAGTTACAACGTTTCCTTTCATTGTCAGAGGGGTCCAGAGGGGACCAACGCAAGAGGTCCTCTGTCATTCGGGGCCACGTCCCCATCCCTGTTGAGTAAATGTTCCACTGGCCGGCTCAAAGCCTCTTGTTGATGCAGAATACCCTGCTAGGCACTGGTCCCCTGACCGATACAGTAGTCCCGCATTGTTGCAGAGGCCACGACCAGTGCAAATCGCGGGCCCGGCCTTGTCCCTGTCTGGCAAAGGGGCCCAAGATCTAAGACCGACGCGGAGCCGACTGTTCGGTAGTGGTGATCTATGGCCGAAGCAGAGGAACGCTCTGTCTCAGGGGTCACGAATCGGTACAGTGCACCCTCCAACTGACATTTGAGATCACGCCCCTTCGGGTGGGGTCCTTAGTGTGACATATGGCCAGCCCTTCAAGCCCTTCAGCCGTCCAATCTGGCCCTTGATCTTTGGACCCGTGGGACATTTCGGCCCCTCTTCGCACTTCCTGAAATAAAGCCTGTGACCGACCCGGAGCCACTAGCCGACACATGACACTCTGTTTGGAACTATGCGTCCCTGACCGACACAAGGGCCCCAGCTGTTGTTTCAGGGAACCAGACAAATGCAAGTCGTGACCCTCGGCTTTGCTGCTGCTTGAGAAATGAGCCCACATGGGTCAGACTGCAAAGGAGCCAAGTGTTCGGTGTTCGTGGTCTCTGGGCGACCGAGACATCCGCATTGTCTCGGGGGGTTCTCAAACGGTGCAAGAGGGCCTCTGACTATGTTTCAGGTTACCATCCCAATGGCACGATTCTTTATGGAACCTACAGCTAGTCATTCGGGTCCTCATGCCCTCCAACCAAACCCTTGATCGTCGGTTCCGGTGGGCCGTCCGGGCCCATCTTCGGGCCTCATCGAACACTGCCATTCGTCGACTCGGGGCCCCTTGCGAACACAGGGCCCTCTGTTAGGCACTGCAAGCCCCTGGCAGGTACAGGGGCCCGACCAGCGCAAATCGCTGGTCGCGGCTTTTTAGCTGGTAGGGGAGTGGCTCTCAGGCTCATACTGACACGGAGCTAACTGTGCGGTACTGGCGGTGCCTGACCGACATATGGACTCATATCGACCCAGGGGGTCCCTGATCGGCGCAAATGGCCCTGTGACTGCCAATTTAGGGCCGTCCCGCAGGCTGGAGACCCTTACTGAGACCCGACCAGCCCTTCGTGCCCTTAAGCCCTCCAATCAGGCCCTTAGTCGTCGGTCCCGGTGGGCCCTCCAGGTTCTTCGGACCTCCTTGAACACCATCGCCTCTGGCCGCCCTGGGCCACCTACCAACACAGGGTTCCTAATAGGCGTTGCGGGGCTCCCTGACATTCACTGGGGCCCCGGCTGACGTAAATCATTGGCTCCTGCTTTGTCCCTGCTTGGGGAATGAGACCAACATATAGACCCTTATCGACCCAGGGGTTTCTGATTGGCGCGCAATGTCCTCTGGATTGCAATGAGGCGCCCAGCCCTGCGGGCCGGGCCCCTGAATACGACCTCCGGCCGGCCTTTCTGGCTATTCGGGCCTTCAGATCGGGCCCTTAATCGTAGGTCCCGAGGGCTCCCTCGGAACCTAAGGGAGAGGGAAGCACGTGCCCCCTGTGCCCCTCCACCTGCCTGCGCTTCGGCGTGCCACTATTGTGTTTACAACGGTAGTTGCCTGGGAACACAATAAGAAAAATTCTCAAATTTGGTTCTTTTGCGGCACAGTTTTGCTAGGAGTGGCGTTTTTTTTTATCTACAGGCATAAATACGCCTACAAGAGTATTGAGGATAGAGAATGAGGATGGATGGATGGGTATGAAGATGGTCTAATGGGGTCAATTCTTAACATGGCAAAATACAAACTATTACCAATCGTGAGATCTTGTTTGGACCAATCCGCTGGTGTTGTTCGCTAAACTCTACCTGTTTAGCTGTGGAAACGGCAGGGGTGGCATCTGCCCCCTATCAGTTCGCGTTACAAAAAAAGGCGAGCCAGGGTGATGGCTAATGTGGTGAGAAAATGGGTGTATTACCGTAATCACTATGATTAACACCACTCGTGTGAATTTCGGCAGCATCGCGTGGTCTGATTAAATGACTATATTTTGAAGATCTCTGGAGGGAGTAATGTTGAATGTGGCCTAAAACCTGATGCGCCATTGCAATCGCCATGCCAAGGTCCAACAATGCTATGAGTTCTAGGAAAAAGCGTAGGGGTTTTGAATGTCGCAGGCAACAAGGAGCGCCATCGTGACAAGCGTCTCGAGTACTACATTGGCACGAATTTGAGGCAAATCGTAGGGGTTGAGATTGGAACGCAAATACGAATGTGCATACAAATACAAAGCTGTCTTGCCAGACATCTTGCCCGAAAATCCGCACCTTCATGCTGTTGTCATGTTTGTCAGGTGTGCCCATGTGTCAGTGAGGCAGACCCGTGCCGCGACAACTGCAAGGTTGGAGCTCCCGGGCTGCAAGCCAGGGGGGGGGGGGGGTTGGAGTGGGGGGCAACAAGCGTTGGGGCTTAGAGCGGCATCAACCTGGGACGAAGGTGCCTTTGAGGAATTCATTGCATTCACCGTAAGCTATGAGCATGCACTTTGCTGCACTGTTCCGTCGTGTATTTTTGTTTTCATTTCATTAATTGCGTGCACCCATGGTTGGATTCATAACAGCCGCTGCGCGAATGCATCTTAATAAAGACCTGTGAATCGCCTGGCTTAAAATACAGCTTCGGCGCGCACTCTGCGGCCGCTTCAGAGTGGCTGCGTGCCGACACGCGTCTCAGCGCGACGGCAGCGATCCGAGACGAGAGCGGCGACCTGCGTATCGGCAGTGCGCTGTCCTTGTTGGAGTGGTGGCCGGGAGCTGTTGCCCGCCGGAGCGCACGCGGGGCGTCCCGCCGGCTGCCGCCGCTGATGAATCATCCGGTCATCCATAGGAAACTTGATGCCTCGACGGTATTCATGCCAGTATATTAAGCCAGCCTCGGAAGCCTTTTATTACACAGACATTGATAGACATGGTCAAAGAAATAACAGACGAATGCGTATGCGCACCACCGCGGGTAAAAATAAGCCTATACATTTGCGGGCGATGTCTCCCCGTGCGGCGACCAATGTGAATGTCTGCCACGCAAGGCGGCCATGACAGCACACCCTGGAAAGCGAACATGGGTTACTGAAACACGGCCGACTGGCGGGCCGCTCACTAAACCGACCCAGTGTGCAGATCGGACTGACAGGAGCCATCCATACGACATAGGCCATTAAAGACACACGTGCCCCGGAGCAGTGGCGTAGCCGGGAACTCACTCAGGAGGGGTCGAATCAGGTATCGGTGCCCCCCCCCCCCCCCCAGCCAAGGGGCCCCTCTTCGTCCCTTTGGGGCCCTACTTATTAATTTGGATGACTTTTAAGTATGGAATCCTATTTTGATATCTCAAAGATCCATTTTTAGTTTTTGAAGCCCTACAGGCGTTCTAAAATCCAAAAGTGGTTCGACTCCAGGGCCCCCTCTCAACAACACCAGGAAAGGTCGCATGGTCCCCAAGGCCCCGTAACCTCGCCACTGACCCAGGAAAGGCCAGCTTCCTTAGATCGCGCAGCGTCACCGTGGAATGACATTTCGCCGCAGCCGGGCTCGGCAAACTTCCGCAATCGTAGGCTGCAACCAATAATGATCACCCCCACTCTCGGGTTTGGGACAAGAAGACGATCGGAAATAATTGCATCAGCACGTGATTCCAATTGGCCGATCGCGCTCAGCGCAGGTTGACGGCCCTGAGCTCCCCCCCCCCTCCCCCCGCTGGCCGATCACCTCTGTGGGTTGCAGACGCCGTACCTCGGCCTGCTGTCACCAACGTCGTAAGGTCCGTGCTCGACTATCGTTAACGTTTCCGACCTCCCATTGTTTTCTGGGGTCGTCTGAACATGCCCGTTCACGCAACCCGTCCAACGCGTTTTCGCGCCGATTGCCCGAGGTCGGGTTAAAGCAACTATCTGGGGCCAGGTCAGAGCAGCTGTCCCGGGACAAGTGGGAGCGACTGCTCAGGGTCCATGTCTGCCTGACTGAAATCAGGTCAGTCAAACGAAATTGTCTGTCTGAAACCAGGTCAAAGGTACTGCCCTGGATAAGGACGGAGCAACTGTGAACTCAGAGTGGCTGTCCTCGGTCAGTTGAGAGCGGCTGTTCTGAGCCAGGCGAGAGCGGCTGCTCTGAGTCAGGTGAGAGCGGTTGCTCTGAACCAGGCGAGAGCGGCTGCTCTGAGCCAGGTGGGTGCGGCGTGCCGGCCGGACCAGGCTTCCCCGGTGGGGGCGGCGGCTGGACCCGCCGCCCCAGTAGTCGGTCGACGTGCTGCTGCCACTGCTGGTCGGAGAGACCGCGCGCCCAGTCTGGCGTGGCCTCGGCTGGCAGCCGTACAGCCCGCATGGCGCGGCGCACGGCCTCCGCCTGTTGCGGCGGCAGCAGCAGCGCCGCCGGTGTCCGGGCCGCCGATCCGAACAGGCGCTGCCGCTCGCCGACCGCCTCCTTTTGACGCTCCAGCTCCGCCTGCGCCGGTCACACATACGACACCAGTCAGATGGACAGACACACATACGGCGTCAGTCAGACGGCCAAACGCACACACGGCACCGGCCAGATGGAAGGCCGCACACATGACACCGGTCATATGGAAGGCCGCGCACACGGCACCAATCAAATGGAAGGCCGCGCACACGGCACCAATCAAATGGAAGGCTGCACACACGGCACCGGTCAGATGGAAGGCCGCACACACGGCACCAATCAAATGGAAGGCTGCACACACGGCACCGGTCAGATAGAAGGACGCGCACACGGCAGCCGTCAGATGGAAGGCCGCACAAACGACACCAGTCAGATGGACAGACGCACACACGGCACCAGTCAGATGGAAGGCCGCGCACACGGTACCGGTCAGATGAAAGGCCGCACACACGGCACGGGTCAGATGGAAGGCCGCACACACGGCACCAGTCAAATGGAAGGTCGCACACACGGCACCAATCAAATGGAAGGCCGCACACACGGCACTAGTCAGATGGAAGACCGCGCATACGGCACTAGACGGATGGAAGGCCGCACACACAGCACCAATCAAATGGAAGCCCGCACACACGGCACTAGTCAGATGGAAGGCCGCACACACGGTGCTAATCAAAATGAAGGCCGCACGTACGGCACTAGTCAAATGGAAGGCCGCACACACGGCGCCGGTCAGAGGGACGGACGCACAAAAGGTGCCGGTCAGGTGGAAAACCGCACACACGTCGATGAGCAAGAAGGGACAAGCGTGCAGTAATACTACCGTCGGAGTCATCGTCGTCACTACCGTCACGCTATGACACCCATATTACACCACACCACACCACAACACACCACAACGCACCACACCACACCACACCACACCACACCACAACGCACCGCACCACACCACACCGCACCATACCACACCACACCACACCGTACCGCACTGCACCGCACCGTACCGCACCGCAGCGCACCACACCACACCGCGCACTGCACCGCATCGCATTGCACCGTACCGTACCGCACCGCACTGCACCGCACCGCGCGCTGCACCGCACCCCACTGCACCGTACCGTACCGCACCGCACCGCACTGCACGGCACAGCACGGCACGGCACGGCACGGCACGGCACGGCACCGCAACGAGCCACATCACATCACACTACACATCACATCACATCATAACACACTATATTACATCATGCCATCCCACTTCACATCACACCATCACATCGCCGTCATCTCTGCACAGAGTTCTCGTCTCCGCCGACAAGCGGGGGCATTCAGCGGCCGCCGTGCGGTTACCTACCTCGGTCGCCTCCAACGGCCAGGCCGGACGGTCGTCAGCCGGGCTGGCGGCGCGCCCTACGTCCCGGTCAGCGGTCGGACCTGACCGGGACGTCCGTTCGGCAGTGGTGACGTTGACCTCTGACCCGTTGACGTCGTGCTCCCACGGCGCCGCTGTCAGCTCTCCAGCTGGCTGGTATTCATTATCAGCGCGATCCGACAGCGCCTCGTCGTCTTCAGAGGATTCATCCTGATGAGAGCGTTGAGTCAATGTGTGACAAGAAAACGTTTCCAGGACCACAGTACATAATAGTGCATGCGCCCTGGCGGTGGGAACAGACAATGCAGGCTATCCAGGATCTCACTTAACAATGAAAGAATGGAATATGGCCCGAAAAGCCGCCTTCCGCGCATAAAAATGAACAAAACCAAACCGTATGAACATGGTGCACATCACAGCGCCATAACATGTACACATTGCACGATTCATATTTCTGTATAACGGTATGTACTGTATAACGGTCATGGAATGCACACGCGAGATCGCTAAACGAGTAGGCAAGGAGCAGATTACACTCATAACTTGTAGCCTGAGGCAGTCGTTGCAGGTCACTGGGCGCGGCTGACCTCAGAGCTGACCCCATCCGGCTGGGGGAGGGTGCCATCGGTGCCCTCCGGCGGCGACTGACCTCGGAGCTGACCCCACCCGGCTGGGGGAGGGTGCCGTCGGTGCCCTCTGGCGGCGACTGACCTCGGAGCTGACCCCGTCCGGCTGGGGGAGGGTGCCGTCGGTGCCCTCTGGCGGCGACTGACTTCTGAGCTGGCCCCACCCGGCTGGGGGATGGTGCCGTCGGTGCCCTCTGGCGGCGACTGACCTCGGAGCTGACCCCACCCGGCTGGGGGATGGTGCCGTCGGTGCCCTCTGGCGGCGACTGACCTCGGAGCTGACCCCACCCGGCTGGGGGATGGTGCCGTCGGTGCCCTCTGGCGGCGACTGACCTCGGAGCTGAGCCCGTCCGCCTGGGGGATGGTGCCGTCGGTGCCCTCCAGCGGCGACTGACCTCGGAGCTGACCCCGTCCGGCTGGGGGAGGGTGCCGTCGGTGCCCGCCGGCAGCGGCTGCCAAGGCGTCTGCCCGCCCAGCAGCTGGTAGCCGTCCGGCGGCGGCGGCGGTGATTCTGTGGGCGACGTCTCCTCGGTGGACGGCGGTCGAGGCGGCTCCGGCGGCATCCGTCTGCAGTGAGCGCGGCAGGTGCACTCCACTACACATCGCAGATGCCTGATAGCCTTATCCACCAGATTTTGACAAAAAGTCTTGCATTGGTTAACCACAGGCAAATATCCTTTTAGAGAAGTGTTAGCCGAATCAGATCCACAGTTTGTGAGCAAAGCCTGTCACACAGCAAGGTTGTCTTTGGCAGTGTTTAACTCCATAACGATACGTGTTGCACGTGATACGTGATAAAATCATGCAACTATTAACCTTGAAATGAACAAACAGGTCGATGTTGGATGCGTTGCTGACCGCAATTCTTACAAGAGCCCAGACATTAATAGCATGACCACTAACTTACTACCACGTGACCAATTATGACCGACAGCTTGCTTTCAGCGACCAATTCCACCATCCCGCATTTGAAGTCAATCAATAATCTAACGAGTCCAAAGGCAAAGAAACTTAGTGGTCTACCAACAAATTCCAGCAATTGGTCTTATAAAAGAGCTTGCACGACTTAAGACGTGGTTCGGAGCTGCCGGTAAGCCGCTGGAGTGGCCAATTTGGTCCGGCCGGCGGGCGGACGAGATACGTACAATATTTATGGCGTTGGCTTTTCGTGCCGGCCAACTATTGCCACGGCGGTCGGCCAGGGCGCGTAGAATATCTATGGACAAGGGCCCTCAGCGTTGACCGGAACGCCACGTGACCCGGTGAGAGGCCAACCAATGAGCGCGAGCCGCCCAGCTGCACGAGGTACGTTCGGCCTGCGCGACCGCCGAACGGGTAGAGCGCCCAGCTGGGGACCGGGTAAGGCTTTGTAACTCTCCCCATCCTGGAAACGGGGCGACGTCGGCACTTTTTCAATAATTTCCTTCCGTGTCGGTCGCCGTACAGAGTTTGATGTTATATTGCATGATGCTATTGATGCTATATTGCGAAGAGCTAACTGCCGCACAGATTCACTAATCGGCGCGGCGGAAGCCTAACCTCGGAATAGCGCTGACGTTTTACTTATCACATTCGTGACGTGGCAAAGCGCGTGATGGTGGGTTCACATTTCAGAAAAGGTGTTCGCATATGGCTCGTCAAAGCGGGCCATTTCGTCGTTGGTTTGGCAGTGCCAGCCTGATCACAGGGCAACCGACAGTCGTGACCCTTCTCAATGCCTATACACATCTAGTTTCCGAGCTAAACACGTCCGCGTGGATTTGCAGGCTATTTCGGGGAGACTATTTCAGGGTCACTTACGCATACTGTAACTGTTGAGTCCCTTATATCTGGCGTTCGTGAACACGATTTTCAGATGCAACGGTCGTCAACTGGCTCTCAATCGATGCTGTGCAACGTACGATTACCTAACCAAACAATGACGTATTGAGGAGCATATTTACTAAACAGAGAAATTCTGCTGTCTAGAGCAGTCCATTTCATATAAAATTATATCAACATTTATACGCAAGTATCAATATTGATACAATTTATAAATATTGATATACTTCGCTCCCCGAAAGTGCAGTCCGCTAATCTACTGACGTGTATTCCCAGTTCACCTGACCGAGCAATACTCCACTGGCGAGCTTCGTCATATATTTCCAAAGCAGGAAGTGTAACATTTTAACAAACAAATACAGACCACACGCGTGAAGCGCGTCCTTGCAGGCGGACCATGTCACCCGCTCGCCTCCACGGCCGACAGTTTCCGTTTCCGAGTCCGCTTCCTCCGTTTGCCGGCTGCGTCGTCGGCCCTGGCGGACCAGCCGTGAAGCCGGCACGCCTGCTCCTTCTTCTCCTCTTCCACACGTTCCATTACCAGCTCCAACGCCTTCACGTAAGCCGCCTCGTACTGGCGCAGCTCGTCCAGGCACGGCGGCCTCTCCGGCACACGCTCCTGCTTGCCGACTTGCGCCAGCAGGCGCTGGAAGTGGCCACGCTGCCGCTCCAGCAGCAGCGTAACCGCCTCACCGGGCTGGCCGGCGCGCGCCGTCCGGCCGACGCGGTGCACGTACGTCTTGACCAGCGCCGGGATGTCGTACGAGACGACCGCGCTCACGGCCTCCACGTCCATGCCGCGCGCCATGGCGTCCGAGCAGACGAGCGCTGACAGTTGTCCAGCCGTGAGGGCGGCGAGCGCTCGCCGCCGCCGCGCCGCCGGCACGCCTCCCGAGAACTCGGCCACGGCTGGGCCGCCCAGACTGTCCAGCAGCAGCGTCAGCCTGTGCGCCGACTCGTTGGAGTTTGTGAAGATGAGGACGCGACGCCAGTGGGCCTGCCGCAGCAGATGGTGCAGCAGGAGGGGCTTCAGCTGCGGCGCGCACACGATGAACGACTCTTGCAGCTCGGCCGGCGTGGTGAACTTGCCGACAAACTGGCCAGGCCGCGGCACCGCCTCACTGTCCCACACCAGCAGTCTTGGCTGAAACAGTCGCAACCGCTCCAGCTTCTCGGGGTTCTGAGACAAGGTCGCAGAAAAGAGCAGCTTCTGCAGCGGCAGGTGAGGACTGGCGAGTGCGACCGCCGACGACGGGCCGGCCGGGCGGCGCGGCGGTCCGTCAGCCGCTGCCGCCGCCCGCTCCACCGCCTGCAGCCAGCCCGTCTCGGCCATTTCCATCACACGGTCCGCCTCGTCGATGACCAGGTAGCGTAGGTGCGCCAGCGAGAAGCCCTCTGTGCCGCTCAGGTGGTCCATGAGTCGGCCGGGCGTGCTGACCACGATGTCCGCTAGCGAGAGCGCGCCGCGCGGGCCTGGCTCCACCAGCCGGCGCCGCTCGCGTGCCAGCGTGTCGATGCCCAGTAGGCGCACGCTAAGCGGCAGGCCGGCCGCGTACTGGCGGAACACGGCCGCCACCTGCGCGGCCAGGGCCTGGGTCGGCAGCACGACTAGTGCGCGCACGCGGCGCACCACGGCCCCGGACAGCGTCTGCACCAGCGGCAGCACGAACGCCAGCGTCTTGCCGCTGCCAGTGGGCGCTGACACGCACAGGTCGGCCGGCGGCAGCGGCGAGTCGGCGGCGGCCAGCAGCGGCGGTAACACGGCCGCCTGCACCGGAAACAGCCGCTCCACTCCCAGCTGCCGAAGCCGAAGGCGCAGCTCGGGCGCCAGCTCGGCCACCTCTTCCGGCGTCGGCCGCCGCTCGCCAATCTGGTCGGGCCGCGCCAGCCAATCGGGCAATATGCGGTGCACAGTCCGCCGGCCGGCGCGCTCTACCTCCTCCAGCACGGTGAAGTCGGCGTCCTTGCCCGCGTCGTGCCTGCCATCGCTGCTCGTCTCGCTTTCGTCTCGCCTCGCCTCGGCCGAGGCAAGGTCCTGGCTTTCCGCCTGCTCGATTGCGGCAACGTCCTGACTGTCCGCCTGCTCGGTCGCGGCGGTGCGACCCTGGCTGTCCGCCTGCTCGGCTGAGGCAGGACCCTGGCTGTCCGCCTGCCCAGCCGCGGTACGGCCCTGGCTGTCTGCCTGTTCGGCCGGCTCGGCGCCGTCGCACGTGTCGTCGTCAGAGAGGGGGCCGACGCGGCCCGGCGTGGCGGGGCTGCCAGAACTCGTTCGACCGTGCTGGACATCACAGGCTGCCGCACTTGCTGGAGCCTGATTCTGGCCAGAGCGTCGTCCTTTTCGAGCGTTCAGACGGCGAAGAATCTCCGCTTCCCGTTGCACGAGCTCACCATTATCATCTTCTTGTATTGTCATATCGCAATGACTAGTTGCTGTAATGGAAGGCAGTTCCCATTTAAACTTTTGCTCAAAGGCCTCACTTTCATCGCGTTAACATTTCCTCCACAGGAAAATTAATAGGCAATTATTAATAAAGGAAACATTGGTTTCTTTGCAGATTGAACGACACATTAAAGGAAATATTCCACAATTGAAGATTTCAAAGCACGCATCCGATGATGAAACAAGCTCACTAACAGCCATCGGTGTACTTTTAAGTCGAAAGACTGCTCTAGACGACACAGTATCTATGTTTAGTAAATATGCCCCTCAATACATCACTGACCACATCACCATACCTTGCTCAACATTGATTTAAAACCGATTGACGGCCGTGATGTCAGGAAATCATGCTCACAAACGGCAGATATGCACGACTCGACAACTGCATTTTCCTTGGCCTTGATCGCCGCATCGCTAAAAGAATGCCCGGATTTGAGTGACGCTATTATGGCGTCATAGATGCCTGAGTAACCCTGAAATAATCTCCCCAAAATAGTCTGCAGATTTTTGCCGGCATGTCACACCGAAATTAGATGAATTTAGATCCCAAGAAGGACAGGGCTATAAACTACACCGACTGATCTCCAAAGTGGCTGTTCAGTTCAAAACCCCACACAAATGAGGAACATTCCTTTTAACTGGCACCTCTAGCAGATGACATTTACTTGCATCGCTAACAACCCGCTGAACACCATGCAAATGTATCTACTTCTACCAAAAGAATACAGCGGTTCGTGTGCGTCATGACATTTCTCTGGCTGTATTTACCATAACTAGTATCAGCCAATGTAATGACGTGAATGTTACAGTATAGTACAGGGAGATCCAAAGCCAAGACAATGCCAAGCACAAGTCAAAGCTGGTGGTTTCGAAGTTAAATTGTGCAGCCGAGGTCAGAGTCAGTTTCTTCGTATATTAAAACGTGAAGCCGAATCCCGAGCCTACGGCTTTGAATTTGCACACGTAAACCCGAAGCTGGAGCCAGAAGCTTCGGGCTTAGGATGCGCTAAGCAAAAGCCAAACCAACCAGTTCAAAATTACGAGGCTGAGCTCGATGATAGCTTAAATGGACCATGTCGTTTTGCGAAACGAAACCATTTTCGCTTGTTTTACATGTGTGGGAAAAACGCGCGATACATGGCTCCATGGGGTTGCAGGAGCTGATTCTACTTGTAGCCATAATTGGAATTAAAGGCGTTCTCCATCGGCATATATCTATGACGCCACACCAGTGGGCAGAACTCGGGTTAAAAGTCATTGGAGAACTGGGCCGAGGATGAAGCTCGGCGGCGCAGTGGACGA